CATTGGCTGCATTGCTGTACAGACCGCAAGGTTGGACCGGACCCCCAAAGACCGGACCCCCAAAGACCGGACCCCCAAGGACCGGGCCGGCTTCTATCACAGTTTGCCAGGTGACTTGCAGAGGATAAGTACCTGCTCCGTACTCTGCATTGGTCTCGGTCCTGTACATCTGTGGTATTTGAGTATGTGCAGAACTTAGTCTGATCAGGTGGTGCTGCGACTCTGCTCCCATTGGCTCGTTTACTCCAGGCCGAGTCTTCCAGACGTTAGATTGACACAGGTCGTCTGAGTGAAGCCAACACCAGTCCCTCCAGTTCATTCAACTCATTTTCTTCAAACATGTCGACTGAACCATGTCTCCCTCTGCTCCAGGTTTGTGACACTGTGCCCTGTCCACACCTCACCGAGTTCCACGCTGATCATTTAGGCTCAGATCCACGTGTGAGAGTCTGCTCAGCTGTCAGACCTCTGTAGCTAAGCAGAACAGGGCCTGGTTAGCACTGTGATGGGAGACCACTGAACACCAGGTGCCACAGAGGAGCAGCTATAAAGTGCAAAAAAAACATGGTGTCCTTAGGCAAGACACTTCCGCACATGTTTTGTGTCTATCAGTGTGTCCCGGGGCAGATGTGGCTACATTAGTCGTTTGTCACCACTGTATGGAGTGAACGTATTTGAGTGTCCAAAACGAACGCTATATAAAACAGATGTAGTATTATTATTACTGGTACAGTTTGAGCTTTTAAAATGATAACGGGTCGACACCATTGGCTTGTACTCTTAGAAATAAAACATTTTAGATTTTAGTTGTATTTGTTTTATGAATTCCCAGAAATAATAATTCAGTACTTGTTTTAGTACTCGGTATCAGCAAGTACTCAAATTAAGGTACTCGAATCGGTAAAAAGTGGTATCGGTGCATAACTAAAATCAATAAGACTCCCACTCTCTGGAACGCTCTCCCAACATTGTCTGCACTCACTTCAGAACTTCAAAAATCACTGCTGTTGAAAAGGGTTTCCACTTAACTGATTATTTTAGACTTTTTTTGTTTCTTAACCTGTCCCTTTGTAAAGCGCCTTTGAGTGTCTATAAATCTATGTGTTTATTTTATTCCTGTATTTGTTAGCTGGTTTTATTGAAATACTGGTCAGGTGCGCACTGGGGACTTGTGCACAAGTTTTCCAATGTGGTTTTACTGCAAATAAAGTGAATGTGATCTGAGGTAGGATGTGTTATTATTGTTCTAACATCATTCATGAGACAATAAGTGGATGTGTCCCTGTGACCCGCTTCTCCAGTGACAGCGCTGGAGCTAACGCAGCATGGCGGGCGGACAGCGCTGTTCCTGTGAATAAGCAAGAGTCCATTTTTAGCTGGGTCAGAGTGTGTGTCATAAACACACTGCACACATCATTAGCTCTGCAGACTGACTCAGAGGAAACAGGAGCACGCCCCGCCCTCTCCCCGCCAGACACCACCACGGGTTCTGCCTGGTTCTGCCTGGTTCTGGCTGGTGATGGACCAGACCGACGAGAGGAGAAGACTCAACATGGGACCTGACCTTAGAGCCTACAGTAAGAGTGGACATAATTTTCACCCATAGTAGCTCTGAATCCTGGGTCTACAGCCTCAGTCCTGGGTCTACAGCCTCAGTCCTGGGTCCTACAGCCTCAGTCCTGGGTCCTACAGCCTCAGTCCTGGGTCCTACAGCCTCAGTCCTGGATCCTACACCCTCAAAGACAGTGATGATCCAGGACATTTCTGTACATTTCTTAACAGTTCTGTTGTTGTGATTTACGGCGATACACGAATACATTGAATCGATCTGAAAAATGGCAGAAAAAGCCCCTACTATGTCTTGAATTGTTCAAACTACATTTACCCTGACATTACAGCCCTCTGAACCCTCCCCTGTGCTCACTATTCTCCACTTGCACTTTATCTAAAAAGTACGTGATGAAAAACTTAGTTCCAAAGTTATGTAAATGAGATACAGTCGGCTCCCGCTGCCTGGCAAGTCAAGCAACAGGGAGGTTCAGCCGAGAATGAAAAATGGCTGGAAATGTAGCAGAAGTATTTTCCATGTTAGAGGCTTCAGATGGGTGCGACAGTGAGAAGGTGTCCTCAGGAGGGGTCACAGGAACCCGGGGAGAGGAGAGACCAGGGCCGGAGACCAGGAGAGAGAGGAGAGACCAGGAGAGGTCACGGAACCCGAGGAGAGCTTGGGACCAAGGCCAGGGAATGTCAGACTGAGGCACCACACAGGACCCACGCCCGAAACAGACACTTCCACATACGGACTCCAGTCTCCAGAGAGAGGACAGAGGCGAGACCAGGCTGAGACAGAGGAGTGAGACCGGGCAGAGAGAGAGAGAGGGGAGAGACCGGGCAGAGAGAGAGAGAGGGGAGAGACCGGGCAGAGAGAGAGAGAGGGGAGAGACCGGGCAGAGAGAGAGAGAGGGGAGAGACCGGGCAGAGAGAGAGAGAGGGGAGAGACCGGGCAGAGAGAGAGAGAGGGGAGAGACTGGGCAGAGAGAGAGAGAGGGGAGAGACCGGGCAGAGAGAGAGAGAGGGGAGAGACCGGGCAGAGAGAGAGAGAGGGGAGAGACCGGGCAGAGAGAGAGAGAGGGGAGAGACCGGGCAGAAAGAGAGAGGGGATAGACCGGGCAGAAAGAGAGAGGGGACAGACCGGGCAGAGAGAGAGAGAGGGGAGAGACCGGGCAGAGAGAGAGAGAGGGGAGAGACCGGGCAGAAAGAGAGAGGGGAGACCGGGCAGAAAGAGAGAGGGGAGAGACCGGCAGAAAGAGAGAGGGGAGAGACCGGGCAGGCATAGAGAGAGGAGAGGAGAGACCGGGCAGAGTGAGAGAGAGAGGGGAGAGACCGGGCAAAGAGAGGAAGAGGGGAGAGACTGGGCAGAGAGAGAGAGAGAGAGAGAGGGGAGAGACCGGGCAGAAAGAGAGGGGAGAGACCGGGCAGAAAGAGAGGGGAGAGACCGGGCAGAAAGAGAGAGGGGAGAGATCGGGCAGAGAGAGAGAGGGGAGAGACCGGGCAGGCATAGAGAGAGGAGAGGAGAGACCGGGCAGAGAGAGAGAGAGGGGAGAGACCGGGCAGAGAGAGAGAGAGGAGAGGAGAGACCGGGCAGGCATAGAGAGAGAGGAGAGGAGAGACCGGGCAGGCATTGAGAGAGAGGAGAGGAGAGACCAGGCAGAGAGAGGGGAGAAACCAGAGGAGAGGAGAGACCAGGTTGAGACAGAGGAGAGCAAACAGGCTGAGATAGAGGAGAGAGACCAGGCAGAGAGAGAAGAGGAGAGACCAGGCAGAGAGAGAAGAGGAGAGACCAGGCAGAGAGAGAAGAGGAGAGACCAGGCAGAGAGAGAAGAGGAGAGACCAGGCCGAGAGAGAAGAGGAGAGACCAGGCTGGGAGAGGAGAGGAGAGACCAGGCAGAGAGAGAAGAGGAGAGACCAGGCAGAGAGAGAAGAGGAGAGACCAGGCCGAGAGAGAAGAGGAGAGACCAGGCTGGGAGAGGAGAGAGAGAGAGAGACAAGGGAGAGAAGAGGAGAGACGAGAGAGGAGAGACCAGGCAGAGAGAAGAGGGGAGACCAGGCCAGGAGACCATGAGAACAAACACATCTGACTCTTGCTGGTACATAGCCGACCTACAGCAGGCCTGTACTGTCCTCTACACCTGACTGCGGTGTGTAGGAGACGTCAGGCTGTAGATCCAGGACTGAACCAACTGTGTGAGGGAGGGACATGGGAGAAGTGATAACTTCTCCCTTGAGAAGTTAACTTGATAACTGATATTTGTACTTGTTTTTGTGCAGGTTTTGAAATAAATAAATAAATAAATAAAAAGTGTGTTCCCTCCAGAAAATACAACTGGACTCAAATTGTAAAGAGTGATCGGACGAGAGAGCGGCGTCTGACCGATACGACTACAGCTGAACAAAACAGCACTGTACGAGTAACAGTGTTCAAAGTACCCATTTCAAACTTTACTATTTAAGCCCAAATATAACACCCCCGAATTAGCTCCAGCCGCGGAGCCGTAAACCAGACACTTTGACATTTCCCACCGTCGCTACAATAATGGAAAGTGCCATTAACAAAGGTCCCCTCGGTCGCACCTGTGCTTTTCAAATATCTGCCGCTCAGTTCCACAAATAGATGGCGGCTCATGCGACTTTCTTCCAGAGTTTCCACTGCAGCGAGGCAGATCTCATATCCAGGACCAGGCCACGGCTGGGTGAGGGGGCCCAGGCACAAGGGCAGGTCACGGCCGTAAGTAAACTTGGACACGGCAGCCATCGTGATCATCACACTTCGACAGAGGGCCAGGAAGGGACGTGGAAGCATTGTTAAAATCAGCAGAAGGAAGCATCTGAAGACATTTGATCCAAGACTAGAGCCTCAGTCCTGGGTCTACAGCCTCAGTCCTGGGTCTACAGCCTCAGTCCTGGGTCTACAGCCTCAGTCCTGGATCTACAGCCTCAGTCCTGGATCTACAGCCTCAGTCCTGGATCTACAGCCTCAGTCCTGGATCTACAGCCTCAGTCCTGGATCCCTCTCAATACAGGCCTGCCCAATGGCTCCTGTGCATTTCCTGTGTTTGAACTGCTTCTCTGATCTGGTGTTGGTGAATCCACAACTTAGCACAATCCTCCGAGACGACTGCTGTTGTGATTTAGTGCAACATACAAAAACATTGAATTAAATCTAGAGCAGCACTGTGGAAGAAATAGTCCATGGAAACGAACAGGAGGAGGCTTTTCTGATACTAGTCCGAGCCAGGTTTGTGGAGACCCAAGCCTCCACAACGACATGTGTTATTTATACTACAACCAAGACAAAAATCATGTCTATTATCTTGCTTTTTTGGCTTAAAAGTGCCGTACCTGGGCTTTAACCCAGGAGGAGCCGTTTAAGAAGCCCACCCTGGAGCATGGCTGATGTCAGAGCCCACCTGGACCTACAGCTCTAAAAGAGTGAGTCTTACCTTCTTCTTGTCCCTCATGGAGCTCTTGCCTCGCACCATGATTTTACACCCCGTCTCAGCTTCCAACTGTTTGGCGGTGAGTCCTCGCGGGCCCAGGATTCTCCCCACAAAGTTGTACTGCAAAAGAAGAGAGAGACTGTCACACAAAAAGAATCAAATCAGCCAATCAGCATCCAGCTCAGAGGCTGTGTGTGTACGTCAGCCAATCAGCAGCAGAGGAGCAAAAAGACACAGACAGAGGCAAAACTCTGCGACGTCATGGACAGAGCTGTCTTCTGCCTTTTTTAACAGTCAGGATTTCACTCTGAACCAGAGCAGAGAAAATGTTACGAACCAAGCCAACTCTAAGTACATGACCCAGAGCAGCTCATGACCTACGAAGCCGTCTCACTTTATTATTATTGTTAGTAACTTTCAGAACGATGTATTAGTTTGTTTGGATGGATATGTTTCTGCTGCTCCTGGACTCCTGCATTTCTCCAACGGGGATCAACAAACTAAGTATCTATCCAAAAACATTTACACAGAAGAGGAAGGAGCTAAAAACAACTCCAGGTTCATGGGTGGAGAAAATAGACTTTATCGCTTTCCGGGAACTGGGGAGAGCGGGGTCTGGACTTGGGGAACTCAATACTGGAACTCCATTCATCGTGGAGGTGAGCAGCAGACTCTGGGTCCAGAGACTAAAGAGGGTCTAGACTCAGAGTTTTAGACATTTGGATTGGACTTAGTTTTTTAGTTTTAGTCGACTAGAATATTGTTCTGTCTCAACAGGATTTTCTCACACTGTATAAAGAATTTATCATTTAAGAAACTTTAATAAGAGTTTGTACTTGTCCATGAGATCTTTTGACAAAAAGATCACATGGACTTGTATTTAAAAAAACAGAGGGGTTGGGGGCTGGGGGCTGGTGGGCACAAACATTAGGAATGAAAGAGTTTTAAAAATGTCCTGCCCCCTAGTGGGAGAACCTATTGGCGTTTTGTCCACGCAGAGCTACCGTAGTTCAGTTTTTCTCCCTTCAGTTCCACAGCCTGTCAAACTCCACAGGGTTGAGCCAGTAACAATTTATTTGGCTGTAAAAAACATCGGTCTTTTTACTATTCTGTGTAAACTAGTGTGCGAGAACTAGCTTCACAGACATCCAACAGTCTCAGAAAACACCGAAGCAGCAAGAAGCCTCTGGTCTGTTATTAAAGACTGTTCTGTGTGTGAAGCTAGTCCTCTCACACGGGTTAAATCAGAATAATGCATCATTTATCATGTTTGGAGAGTTTTGTGAGAATAAATGCTCCCTAACGATGACTGTGAACGAGCCAATGAGCCTCTAGCCCAGGCAGGTCAAACTCAGGCTCTTGGGCCAAATCCAGCCCACAAGACCATTGCGGGCTGGATTTTTATTGGCTAATAAAATGATTTTCAAATATTATTAACTTGTTGTGGGCTATCAAGGCATGTTTTTTACTCTAACATTTTAACCCAACAAATAATTAAAACTATAACATATAAAATAATGTGTTTAACTTTATATTTGGTCCAGTTTTAGTTAAATTTATTAAAATCTAAACAAAGCACCCAGAAAAATAGTGAAACTATATAATAGTAAGGCCAAAATACCTTCATAATGTCAATATCCCGTCTATTCTTTCGGCCGCCGACAAGTTCCAATTGTTTTTATTCAGCCCCCTGCTCTAGCCTCTAAACAAGCTCTTTTCCGACTGAAGGGGTCGATAGAGAGTGTGGCGGTCTGGTGCTGTACTCCGCAGCCCTGGGTGTGTTCTAAAGCTTCAGTTCTGGATCTACAGCCTCAGTCCTGGATCTACAGCCTCAGTCCTGGGTCTACCGCCTCAGTCCTGGGTCTACAGCCTCAGTCTTGGATCTACAGCCTCAGTCCTGGATCTACAGCCTCAGTCCTGGATCTACAGCCTCAGTCCTGGGTCTACAGCCTCAGTCTTGGATCTACAGCCTCAGTCCTGGATCTACAGCCTCAGTCCTGGGTCTACCGCCTCAGTCCTGGGTCTACAGCCTCAGTCCTGGGTCTACAGCCTCAGTCCTGGCCTCTTTAAAAAGCTCTTATCCGACTGAAGGGGGCGCTAGAGTGTGTCGGTCTGGTGGTGTCCTCCGCAGCCCTGTGTGTTCAGCGCCACTACATTGGGAGCAGAGAAACTGTATAGCTGCAACGATCAAACGTTTCCATGGTTACACTTTACACAACACTATTTAATCAGAGCTGCTCTCCTGTGGATACAATGCCTCCAGAGACTAAGTGTAAGAAATTAAGTACCTCAAAATGGATCCACTTTGGATTAGACTGGTTTGGAATTCATTGAACATGTATTTGTGACATGTAGCTGTAATCTGAGCAGATTAGAGCTGCTGTGGGAGTTAGGGCTGGATTACGACAAAGGCTACAGTACATAGATTTGGGTTCAGGGAGGAAGAGTACGAATCCAATTTAGTGTGGTGTCTATTGCCCAGTTCTGATTAAAGTATGACCTTATTATTATTATTATCATTCCATTGACCTAAACATGCACAAACGAACAGCGAGACGCAACAGAAATGGACTGAATTCATTAGCGGCGACTAAATCACAATTTAGCACCAACCAGAGACTGTACACAGATGGACAATGCTAACCCGCTAGCTCAGAGGTCGGGAACCTTTTTAGCTGAGAGCCAAACAAGTCTCCTACTTAAAAATGTATTTCTGTGGGAGCCGTACACAAGAACGAGATGCATTTACGGCTCGAGTGAGATATTAGTCTCAGAAGTACTTTTTATACTCAAGTAATCCAATGCATAAAACATCCTTACCATTAAAACCTAATATTGGTCTCAGAGCCAGACACAATTATCTAAAGAGCCACAGGTTACCGACCCCTGCGCTAGCTTAATGAAGCCCGATAAGGAAGTGCTCATGGTGAAGTTTCGCTCCAACTTGCTCTGGCTCCTGTTGATGTAAAAGAAAACTCTAGCTCAGTAACTGTCACACGCACATTTTGGGCTTAAATCAGTGGTTTCTCTGTGATCCTGGTTTTTATATAATGTAAGGATCGACCAATCATCTGTCCCTGTTGTGCCCTTACAAGGAAATTGGCTCCAGCTATCTAATGTTCAAAGCAGCTTCTTCTGTATTCGGCCAACACTGTGGTGATGTCACACTCAGTCACTCCACTCCTAAGACACGGTCTGTGAGTGGGACCAGGTCTGGCGTCTGAACCAATCAGAGAGAAGGAAGAGGAGGCAGAAGAAAAACCCAACAAACACCGAAGAACATTATTTTCTTGTAAAGTGACTTCAGTAGAGCCGAGAAGAAGAGTAGAGTGGAGTAGAGTAGAGAAGAGAGTGGGGAGAGGGGAAAGAAGAATGAAAGAGGGAAGCGCAAAAGAGAAAAGAGCGAAAAGAAGAGAAGAGAGAGGACAGAGGAAAGAGGACGACAGAGGACAGGAGAGAAGAGAGGATAAAGGAGGAGAGAAGAGAGGAGAGAGAGAAGAAAAAGAAGAGAAAGGAGAGGAGAGAGAGAGAAGAGAAAGGAGAGGAGAGCGAGCAGAGAAGAAGAAAGGAGAGGAGAAGAGAAAGGAGAGAGAAAGAGAGAGAGAGAGAGAGACAACAGGAGAGGAGAGAGAAGAAGAGAGGAGAAGAGAGCAGAGCAGGTGGAAACAGGACATTTTGAAGACAGACTCCTCTCGCTGAACAGTGAATGTTTGGAATCCGAACGACAGACATCTCAAAGCTCTAAAGCTCTCGTACACATGCGGTGGGACAGTCCAGAGGTCACATGTGCCCGGTGATCTCTGCTGATTGGACGGTTGGCTGCGTGCCGAGGCGTGTGTGTGCGTCTCCACACAAACGCAGTATTAATATCCATATGAGTGCGATCACATTTGTGGCAGTGGAGCGAGGCAGGCGCGGCGTGTAATCCTGAGTGATTACATGATGTCTGCCGGCCGCGTGGGCTTAGCCGCTAACACATGGGGCTAGTTTTGCCGCGGCCTGCCGTCACCGGAGCCGCGCCTGCCTCGCACCGACTGTCCGTGAAGGTTATCGCTCTTAGGGATTTGACACGGTCCAAAGAGAGTCGGCGTTAAAGGGGCAGGCTGTGTGAGAGGACTGGTTCTTCTCTCATTGTTTCAGGTGGACTGGAGGTTTTTTACAGGAACTGGCACATGTTTGAGTCCACTTTGTAAAGACATTTATGGACATTGGCCACTGCCCCATATGGACCAATGGTTGTTATTGCATTTCCTGTGTTTGATTCTCTTAGGGCGAATCGACGGCTTCTTAAAAGGTATATAGGAGGATTTCCCCTGGTCTGATTTGACGAGCACGTATCACTAGAATGATTGACAGTTGGGAGGACCAATAGTCTTGATGCTCCACCCAGAAGTAGAAAATCCACCTAGATACCTTTAAGTCCTCAACTACTGTTGTGATTTACATCAGTCACAGTCTGACTGTGACCCAGGTTACAGCAGGCAACACTATGTATGATGTTATGTGGCGAGTGTAGCTGTTTGAAGCTGTCTCCACATGGACTTAAGGCCACCCGCGGAACTCTAGCCTGAATCCTCATGGACTAGAGGCCACCCAGGGTACTGCAGCCTAAACCCACATGGACTGTAAGGAGATTTTCCCACAGACCTCAGTGTTCACTAAAACGTCTCATCCTCAGAGACAGAACCACAGATTTCACAGAGAAGGATTCTGTGAGGATCTAAGTGTCAGAACACTCCCATGTTTCTCTGGTCCTGCAGAAGTAAAACCACTGAACAAGACCAGTAGAACCTGAGCTTTTTGAAAAAAGATAGTCCGTTAAAGTTCTGCAGCTGTGAGCAGGAGGGTGATACAGAGACGTTTCAGATAAAGGGGCATCGTCATGATTTGTGAACAGAAGGTAAAATGTCTCCAGCTTCGTGCGGCGCCACCGTCTTTCTATCTCCTGTTTTTATGTTGGCGGCTGTGACTTGGATTATTTGGACACATTTCTCCGCGGTGCCGCTGGAAGCCAGTTTGGAGTGGCGAGGATTACTTGGGTAAATGTGTTTCCGCCTGTACAAAGCCGCAAAAGCCAGCGAGCGCTGAAGAAGGGGCTTGATAAGAGAAAGGCACCCCCT